GTGCACCTACTTTCGCCTACAAGTGCAGTTAATTTTGCCATGCTAACATTTATTGATCTGAGTTCAGCGGGTAGTAATACCCCTGAAAACCACCCGCAAACATTCATGCACCTAGGTGCAACTACTTATAACTATAGGTGCACTTAGTATTGATGCTCAGTGTAAATTTTTACTTGCACCTATAATACATTTTACTTGCACTTCGATGTTCAATTATTTAAGAAAATGTCACCGCATTTTTTTAAAAAATCTGTGTTTCTCATTAGGGGTGTAAACGAGCCGAACCGAGCCCGAGCATGGGTAGGCTCATGCTCGTGCTCGTTAATGATAGCACTGCTCGAGCTCGAGCTCGAGCTCATTCGAGCTTGTGAACTGATGCTCGAGCTCGAGCTCGGCAATTGTCGAGCTGCTCGAGCTCGAGCTCGAGCTCGAATTTGAGCTCAATTTTGATCTGAAATTTGACCTGTTTGATTTAAAATTTAAACTACTTTGTTTTATGACTTTTATCCATACATAATTATTAAAGTATTTTAATTTCTCTCCGCTAATTATTATTTTTATATACTAATTATAATATAATTATATTATATATTATATATTATATAATATATTATGAGGCTCGCGAGCGGCTCGTCGAGCCGCGAGCTTACAATACCTAAGCTCGGCTCGTGCTCGTTTAATCCACGAGCTGCTCGAGTTCGAGCCGAGCTCAATTTTGACCGAGTTCGAGCCGAGCGTTGACCGAACTGCTCATGAGCGACTCGCGAGCGGCTCGGCTCATTTACACCCCTATTTCTCATCCATTACTCCATTAGATCTGGACACGTGGACGGATATCATACATTCGCATATTCGCACCTGGGCGCTCCATTCGCACCAGAGTGCAATTATATATATATATATATATATATATATATATATATATATATATATATATATATATATATATATATATATATATATATATATATATATTAGGCGAGTTCAGGTGCGGCGGTGTCTTACGATGCGGCATCACCAATAGTTCAACAAATATACACCATCAACGTTAGGAAAATACACCACAAAAAATAGAGACAAATTAGATATGCATCACCAAAAACACAGCATTAGGTGTGAGTAAAAACACCATACAGTGTTTGGAAATACACCATTGGGGGTGGTGTGTCATATGGTGTATTTTTTTGGGCCTGTTGTGTATTTTTTGATGTTTTATTGCATTTCATTGTGGTGTGTTTTCCTTACACTGTTGGTGCATATTGTTAACACTGTTGGTGTATTCTGAAATTCTGTCGCACCGCCACACGGGAAGACCCCGCCGCATTTGAACTTTATATATATATATATATATATATATATATATATATATATATATATATATATATATATATATATATATATATATATATATATATATATATATATATATATATATATATATATGAGACGGATAAGGTGCAGATGTTTCCTTGGGTGAAAAATAGCATTTAATCTCATTCATTAATTCAATCTAGATAATTGTTTAGAATAGATATATCTTTTTTTTTTAAAAAAAAAAAAACGCGGTGGCATTATGATAATTTTGTGTAAGTCTTTTTTATTTTTTGTCTGGCAGAACACAATGTTTTACCCTTCAGAGCATAATGTTGTGCCTTCCAGAGCACACTGATGCGTCTTCTAGTGCACATTGTTGAGCTTTGCAGAGCACATTGTTGAGCCTTCCAGAGCATATTGTTGTGCCTTTTAGATCACAATGTTGTGTCTTCGAAGTACATATTGTTTTGCCTTAGAGTGCACATTGTTGAGTCTTTCAGAGCACATTTTTGTGTTTTCCAGTGTATATTGTTGTGCCTTCCATTGGACAATTTTGTGCCTTTCATGATTTGAAACGTTATTTTTGTTTTTTGTTTTTTTTGTTTTTTTTTTTTTTGTTTTAGAGTCATTGTTTTGAACAGATCAAAGGCTCCTATTTTTTCTTACTTTAACACCTGAGGCAACCTAAACCTATATATGTGTGTGTCCAAATTCTCAATTTCCTTTACATGTAAAGCCGGCAACTACAACATTTATTCAAATTCAATCCTTGCCAGGTTGACAGACTTTTTACCGTCTGATCACGGACTATTCATCATATCATATCTAAGATGCACGTAATAGTTAACATATATGATTTGGTGTTAGTATTATTTTTAATTTATTAATAAAGGGTAATTTTTAATTTTGGTCATGTGATTATTGGGGTCTTGTTAATTGCAATCCACGATTTTTAAAACTGTTAATTTAGTACTTGAACTATTCAATTTTTATCAATTTTGGTCATTCTGACCAAATTATCGGTCAAATCTTACCAAAAAAAATTTATTAGCCAATTGATCTTTAATTCTAAGGGGCAATTTCGTCTTTGTATGGCTCCGCCATGTCCGACGAGCTGAACACCACCTCCAACCACCAAAACAGACGACGACTAAAACCAGTGGCCTCCTCCGGATCCATGGTTCTACACTGGTGATTCAACATTCGTTCGTGGTAAATCAACTCCACGGAATACATATCCATCCAATACCAAGCCAGGAGGAGATTCTCGGGAACCACGCTCTCCAGCCCTTTCGCTGGCAACCCAAATCCGCCATTAGCGACCACCTTGCATCCGGTCACCCTTCAGAGGATCCAGCTCGTTGCAATTCTCCACGAGGTCATAGTTGAACATCTGCAGAATCTCATAGACGTAGACCTTGCGGGAGTCGTGTCGATGGGGTAACAGATGGTCGTGGCCGGAGGTGGACTTGGTCGGAGAGGAATGAATGAGGAAGAAGAGAACCCAGATTTGGAGAAAGATGGTGGTGAGAAGGAAAACACAATGATCCAAAGGTACTTGATATTTCACAGATTGCAACGCGTATTTGCTCCGTTGATTGCTTGTCTGGTTTTAGTCGTTGTCTGTTTTGGTGGTCGGAGGTGGTGTTCAGCTGGTCGAAGATGGCGGAGCCATACAAAGATGAAATGGTCCCTTGGATTAAAGATTAATTAGCTAGTTAAAATTTTCCGGTGAGATTATTTGACCGATAAATTGATTGGAGTGATCAAAATTGATAAAAATTGAATAATTACCATACTAAATTAACAGTTCTAAAAATCATGAATTGCAATTAATAAGACTTCAATAGTCACAAAATCAAAATTGAAATTTACTCTATTAATAATAACGTAATGAAAGGTTGTTGATTTGGACATTATATTATTCTAATCAATAACGTACTGAAAGCTTATTTGGAAAACTACTCTGGGGAAATAACAATGTTTATGATTGGAATCATCAAATAAGGTCAAGAATTTCCTTTGGTATCAACTATCATCTACCTTTTATCCTTGTCACAAATGAAAATAACAAATAAAAAAGGTAACCTGCTGAGATGTCTACCTAAATATACAAACTTACCACAAAGTTACACGTTCGAATTTCAGCCTTGATAAGCCAGTTAATCGCCGATTAGTTATAGATGGTGATTTACCTTATTGTGTCGATTAGGACTACAAAACCAAGTTTATGCAGTGACTGCGGGTTTTACTCGTCACCCAAAATAACAAATAAAAAAGAACAATATCAGTGATAACATGTTTCACTCGTAACCCAAAATAATAAATAAAAAAGAACAGTATTAGACTAGGGGTTTCACTCGTCATCCAAAATAACAAATAAAAAAGAATAGTATCAATGACACCGGAAAGTTTCACTTGTAACCCAAAATAACAAATAAAAAACAACAGTATAAATGTTTGGTATGCATGTGTAAACGTTGTGAAAACAAAAACTCGATTATCAGATATGGAAAACCAAATTGATGAGACCACACTCATCAACAAGGTGGAAAAGCAATCATCTCTAGGGATTCTTGGAACCATCAAAGAATCGTTGAAGACCACCTTAAGAAATGGAAAGCCCATGCTCGCAATCCTTCTCTTCACTCTCTACTTCTTTTCCATTTTGGAAGTCGGAGAGTATCTGCTGTCTAAACCAATTCCTCGCCGCCCCTCCGCCAAATCCAAGCTTAGCCCACAGGCCTTTCAGTATTACGCACTTCACTATGCCACAACTGCCATTTCCTGCGTTGTTTTGCTCTTTCTTTCAATGGTCACTATACACACCACCTCCGAAGCCCACGCCGGGAAACCACGCAGCATAAAAGACGCCATCTTTAGCGTAAAGGGGATGTGGAAGAGGGTATTCCTCACGCTGTTTTACGCCGTCTTGATTTTAGTAGGCGCGTCGACTATATTCTGGATGCTATTTCAGCTAACGCCATCTCTTCCTGTTTCTGATACTGTGTGGATCTGCGTGGACATCGCGTTGGCCTTCATCGCCTTGGTTGTTCTGGTGTATATGTTGGCCGTTTCCGGTGTGAGCCTGGTGGTTTCCGCGGCGGAAGAGGGTTGCGAGGGGCTAAGCGCGATCAGCAGAGGCGGGGAGCTTGTGAAGGGCAAAAAGGTTCAAGCTTGGGTTCTCACTTTGCTTTACGTACTGTGTATTCTGGGCGTGTCCTTGCTATCCAAGTTTGCGAAAAGAAAAATGAGTGATTGGACTCGGCATGCCGTTTTGGTGGCGATTAATAGTGCAATGTGGGTTGTCTCACATTTTCGCTTTGTTGTGCTTACTGTCTTCTACCATCAACTCAAAAACCTTCACTACACAAATCTGCAGCCTGCAGATTCTGCTTATGCTCCCATCTCAACCCTTGATTTCTAAACTACTCAACTTTTGAATCGGTACAGACAATATATGTACTGAATAAAGATGTAATAGTGTTGAGTTGATGATTATACTAATATAATTATACTTTAATTAATTTTCCTTTTGTTGTTGGTCAATTGTCAAAGGATGTGTAACTTGTAAAGATTGTGGCTTTAATTCTTCTTGAAATTAATGATAGTTGAAGATAAAACCAAAATGGAAAAGGCCAATAATAAAATAAAATAAAATATATTCCAATAGAGAACAGAAAAGCGGTAAGCAATATTGAGTGGACATCATTCGCCTTCCACCTCTAACCCTGTAAAACTGTACCCGAAAATCACTCAAAAAAAAAAAAAAAAAGAAAGAAAGATAAGAATTTGGGAGATGGTTTCTCATTCTACGTTGCCCCTTATTCATGGAAGCCTCAAGCTCTCAACCAAACTTTTCTCTTCCTTCCATTTTCACTCATCTGCTGTTAACAAGTAAGCTGCTTTGCACCGCTCACTTTAATTTCTCTGTGTATTCTAATTTTTCTTTACGAATTCTCTCCCCTTCTGTGGAAAGTGGAAACCAGAGTGTAAGACCCATTGTATTTGTGTGTGTTAAAACAGTCTTTCTTTGCCGAAAAGCGAAAATCTTGGTATGATTAATTCCTGAATTCTTGTTTGAGAAACACAAGAATGTCGGGATGTAGTTCGTTCTCGGTGTTAATTTCATAGCTTCAAATTTTCCCTCTTTCCCTTCTTCTACTTTTGACCATTCCTTCCTAATTTTTGGTTTGGTGAACATGAAATGAACTTTTTCTTTAATTCCTTTGTAGCTTTAGCTTACCCACGAATTTAATTTCTTTTCTCTTCTTCATGGTTGAGCTTGAAAATGGCCAATTGCTTCGGGAAATGATTCGCAAAAGTGTATTACAAAAATTAGGATTTAAGGATTACTACTACCCTGTTATCTGAATGTGGAACAATTCGGTGCTAGTTCGTGCCAGCCCATGTTTATGTGCTTCTATTTTAGCGGCACCCCATAAACATGTAGCGAATTACCTAATGAAGACCTACATTGTTCTTGGTTCACACTAAAATACCCAAATTAGGAGAGTTACTACCTTAATTGCTGCTTGCAACTTCATCAGGATAACTAAGGTGGATGAAATTTTGAAGACATTAAAGTAGAACTATGGTGGTAAGTTCCAATATGAGAAGGGGAATGGTTGAACTGGCTTGGCAATCGCTTCAGGAACTGCTAGATGGGAGCAACCCCAGACTTTGTGATTGAAGTCATTTCACTTTCTTTGATGATTTCTTTTCCACAAGTTTCCTCAACGACAATCTGGTCACCCCTTTCCTTCAACAAGTTATAAATTTTAAGTTGATGCTCATGTCCACTGGTTAGTTCAAAGGTAACAGTTCCAACATGGCACACAAAGAGTAAAGAGTGTGCCCGTGCTTCTTTCGGAAATTATTGTGATGCGAAGAGTCTTGAAGGATGTATGATATCCGCAAGTTGTGTAAAAATTTATAATTTCTCATGGAAAAGGAAAGGTTGAATCTTTGATAAGACTTGAGCATAAACCATTGGCCTTGTTGAACAATGAACTACCTAGAGAACTCAACTCGTATTTTTATATATTTCTGATGATATGTACAAGGAAGAGTACAGCTATTTACACAAGAAAAGAAAAGAGCTAACTCTAGCCACAGGTTTCAAACATTCAAACCCAGGGTTGAGAGTGATTCTCTCAACCAAACCCTATTTCTCTAACAAGCCCATATGTAGTGTTAACTCTGTAATCTATGCACAAAATCTCCTTATATTTAACTGCAACCCCTGGCCATATCTTTGGGTGATCTGTTGTTATTGTTCCTGTATTTGCCTATTGTTCTTTTGGTGCTTTCCGTTCTTGTCCATTTCTTTTACTAATCCACTATTTATATCCTATAGGCATGGATTTGGAAGTCGCCAACAAACCCGTTTTGCTTTGCAAAGGACCAAGAGTTCAGCAGTTCGTCTCCTAGCCAATCCTAATGTATGCATTATAACAACTTGATTTTTGAGTCTAAATAACGCCAATATTTTGTTTGAACAATGATTGTGATTTAGAGATACTCAAAGAAGCGTTAAGGTATGTGTTTAGTGTTTCAATAGTTCACTGGATGTGCACATATATTTTGTTAAACTAGCAACCTTAGGTGTAGAATTTGTGATGATGTTTCAACTCATGAATGAGGTGTTTGGTGACTAGTTAACTGTTATTTGCATTAATATGTTTGTTAAGTAGGTTGTTGTGGAGTAGGTAGATCGAGATTAGGTAAATAGATAGTGGTAGGAAAAATCTGAATGGAGTTGTGGTGGTGGGTGGGTATGTAGGTGATAGTAAGGTAAGTAGGCAGGTAGTGGTGAGGGAAAAAAGCGGTGATCGTAATGGAGAATTGGAGATAGTGATGGTGGCGATGGTAAAGGGTTGGTAGGTCAATGGGTGGATAGATATGAAGGTAAAGGTAGGAGTAGATAGATAGATAAGGTGGAAGTTGGTAGATAATGAGAATAGTTACTGTTTTAAGTGTTGTATAATCCACTGATCCACATAATCCATTAACGAATGGGTGGATTGAACTTTAATTCTGTGCAACAACGATATGTTGATATTAAGCAAACCAATTTTGGAGAATCATGTGTTTTTTTTCTTGTTTACTTTGATTTTCCCATAATTTGAAAAACAAGGGTCCTCTACAGGGGTCTCCAGGCAAAGAAAGAGCAAAGAAAGAGGTGGTCATGGTTGATCCTTTGGAAGCCAAGCAATTAGCTGCAAAACAAATGGAAGCAATTAAAACGAAACAGAGATTTAAAGTGGGTTAACTTCTGTACTTGTACAATTTCTTTGCTACCAAGCAACATAGATTTTTTTTTTTGTTTGGCCAAAAGAATGTTTTCTGATGCCTGCCTGCTAAAGTAGCTCCCTGAGTCCCTGTTCGTGTTATTTTGGTTGTTCTTTTTTCAAACGTAAATCCTGATATATATATATACATATATTTGTCGATAGAGACGGCGTGAAATTGAAGCAATAAATGGTGCTTGGGCTATGATTGGTCTAACAGCAGGGCTTGTTATTGAAGGGCATACAGGAAAGAGCATTATTGATCAGGTAACATCCTTATGGGTGCTTAATGTTGCAAGGCAAGAGACATCACATAATGAAGTTGACATCTCATATTGTACTACTACTTTCTTTTAACTATCAATTTCTTTTCTTGGTTGAAACAATGACAGTTGGCTGGATACTTGGCTGCAGTTGTTGGGTTTTTCATAAGATAGTACATTGAACAATGAAGGACCAAAATGGGTACCCGGTCAGACCGAATGAATTGCAACTTCATAGGAAACATTTTGGCAATCATTTTTGTACACTGCTGCATTCTTTTCTCTTGTACAGAAATGCAAATACTTGAACCAAAATCACTATTAAATTTCTTCTTTACCTTGGAGAGATGGAGACTAGTGCTGGATTCTTGTCTACTCTCACTCTCCTACAACTCAACTGGATCACATAAAATGTCTGTTGTAGTTTTGTTTTTGGTTTTGTCAGGGTGGGTAAAGTATATTCATTTGTACTCACAAGAGTATCAAACATGGTAGGTACACTTGGTAGCTAAATAAATCATTAGTTGAGAGAGACAATCAATCAAACAAAGCATGTACAACGTTCGTTAAACTCGAAGGAAGAGAATAATGTTAAGACAAAATTTGAGAGCAACACTAAAAGTCATGGAAGACCATAATAGCATCATCAAGATTCATCAAGGCAGACTCCAGGGCAATCCTCACTTTCATCAACCGCTTGTACTTAATTGACAGTTCCCCTGTAAGCTTTTCTCTAGGCATCTGAAGAATCTGTTGCAGGTGGGCGATGACACACATTAGTTAAGCATCAAACTCCAATATCATTCATCTTATTCAAACAAACAGACACACACACACGTCTTCGTTAATATTGCAGTTTCAAGCACCTATTTTTTATTTTTGTTTTGGCTGTTGCCTGGTCTTTACCAACTGCTTATGAGGATCTTCTGCTAGGTAGAAGACGACACAAGAGATTTCTAAAACTTATTAGCTCAACTCCTCTATTTGCATACGTTTTATCACAAGATCCAGAACCTAGCATGGACGGACAACCCTTGGATGCATTGTTTTCATCCTCGGAAAGTTTACCAATACTTTGTGTCCATAATTTAACCATAATAATATGAAAACCATACTTCACATTGTCACAGCAGGTCATTATCAGAGACAAATAAAAGCAGTATGAAATATATGCATAACAGAAGAGCAAACCTCTTTTTCTTGTTCTATTTCATGTGTGATTCGCAATCTCAGATTCAATGCAGCATGGTACATTTCATCCAGGACATGTTTCGTAAGTGACTGTTTATTTACACTCCACAGCATTTGTTCTGATTGACTAGTTCCACGCACAATAATTTTCTGCAAGAGAATGGTAACAAATCATAAAAATGTTGCAAGTCTACTAAACACTTAACATAGGAATAAAAACAAATTAAGACTAAAACACTTCACACCACACATTAGCAGCTTCTCAGTGACTCAAGAAGGTCATGCAAACAAGTTCAAATAGTTGTGTTTAGGTTCTTAAAAACACAACACCACGAGTATTGAATTAAAAAAGGAAATACAGACAAGTGGTTTTAGCAAATATTAAACCAAAAACCAGATAATAAAGAAAGAAATGAACTACATTACCTTCATCTCCACATAGTCATCCTTCCAGAGTCCAAGTAGAATCTTGACTGCATCTTTCTTTTCAACAAATGTGGCGTCTGAAACCTACAGCATTAAAATAGGTGAAGTCAACAGATAAGCTTGTTTGAGGATAGCTCATTAGCTTACCACAGACCAAAATTATTTTCATTGATACAATAGATGTAAGCCACTTTTCTAACACAACAAATGGAGCTTTTCAGGAAACAATTAGAAAAAGAAATAACAGGCACTTTAAGACAGACGTGTGTATGTAAAAATACATTTGATCACAACTTGATACCTCATCAGTTAGAAAGAGCCGACTAGCTTTTGACAATAACCTGAACATCCTATAGGCCTCTCTTCCATACCTTTTCAATACAATGGGCTCTACCTGCAACATTGGATAATATTTCAGAAGTAATCATCCTTTTAGCACATTATTTAGGAATTATTGAGCATGAAAGGAACCTCTTCAGTTCTAGCCAGTTCAATAATATTCTTCAGATCTGCAAAAAGAGCATAATTTTATGTAAGTTTCACAGAACAATTCATCTCGATTCCACTAGAAACTCTGAGCTTTTTTTCCTTTGAAGTTACACCGTTTGTTCTCAAGAGAAATAATCTAGGCATATGATAATTGAGTTTTTTCTTGATAAACATGGTTCTTTCTCAATTGAAAATCACTTAGCATTAATATGACATACCAATACTATATGATTCATCTATTGGAATCAAAGGAACATCACAACCCAGTTGGACAAGGGCAGCTCTAATACGTTCAAAATCCATACCAAGACCACCTTCTTTCTTTATGACACCATCATAAATTGAATTTATGGATAGTGAGGCTGCAAAAAGCACGCTTAGTAATCAATGCAGAAAATAATATGGAATAATACTGAGAAAGAACCAGCAATGGTGCACATGAAATTTAAATCTAAGACCAATTACTACAAATGAGAAAAAACTTAACTCAATTTTGAAATTTTTGTTTAACATAATATCTGTGGCCTTCAAGAGTATGATGTTCTGGAAATGAGACATATATGAGTCACTCAACAAGTTTCCAAATTTCCACTGCAAGTGGAAGAGGAATCATAGACTTAAGCATGCATGCTTCACTATTTACCTTTGAATAGCCAAGAAAAATCAGTGGTGGACCAAATTCAAGGAAATATATAAGTTCAGAAATAGTTGGATGTTACATGTATGGCAGGATTGATGCCTTCTATAGTTTCCCTAATTTCTTTGTGTAATGTGTTAAAGACTCTAGTCAACATTTGGCCATTACATCATGATTTCAAAGTGCAAAAACAATCAATGTAAGCAGACCCTGCATGTTGGGGGAACTTTGTGCACTTAACCTGATCTAACCCTTATTTAAGGCACAAGTTTTGAAAATGATTTAAGAAAAACATGGTCAAACTTAACTAACCAATAAAATAGAACTTATGATCACCTGAATTATCAACTTTCACTTTGGTCTCAGAACTTCTACTCAGTTCTAGAATTGCATCGAGCACAATAGCAGCTTCATCATTAAGGCGTGCTTTCACATTTGCAATGCAAGCCTAAAAAAAATACACAATAATGTAAAATAAAAAGACTATAATAGTATGCCATTTGATGAGCTTATTTTCAGCCATTCTACTTGTAAATGCACGTATGCTCATTTTTTCAATGTTTAAATCAACTTGTAAAAAGAGCTTATGGCTTTTCAAAGCTATTTTTAATGAGTAGCCTATTTTATATGCCATTTCAAAGAGCCTAAGAGAATAAGCTGAAAACAGAATTTCAAAGGCCAGTTAAAATGGAAATGTTGTTTTGAGCCTATTGAAAATTTGTTATCTTGAAAACACTTCTAATTTATTTATCCAAACTGGGCAGTTTTCTGTTGGGCATTCACAGAGGGCGTGACTTATACATATATATATTTGTTACTATATAGCAGTTTTATTTTTTTATACAAAAAGTGTATTGAGATTTGCAAGAAAACCTAATTTTGTCCCAAATCTGAATTTGTGGGGTATATAAAGTAAGAGTAATTGGGCTGAGTGCCAACCTTATGCCTTGCGCGGCGTATAAACTCTTCAAAGTTAACACGCCAAAGAACTTTGCTTTCATCTTTCGCCAATAGCTCACTCTCATCTAGCTTGCGCTAAGCAATGAGAAATAAAATAGTAGAGTCTTATAAAGATAGCTTCAAATATAAAGATTGTATCCATTCAACATATATTTCATAAAATATTACACAAACTACAAACCTTTCCCCCAACTGCTATATTGTTGGTCTTTTTGTTGCTTTCTTTATCAGAAGCATCATTCCAACTGTCTGCTTCAACCAAGAATCTTAATGATTCCATAGGAGCTGCTGCTTCTAAAGCCCGTTGCTCTATAGTCACTTCAGCCATCTATTTTTACATGTTAATAGCAATTTTGTAAACTAAGATAGCATAGCTGCTTAAAAACCATGAGTACAGGTAAAAGCATCAAGGTATGAACCAGGAACAACTAGCCATGGAAATTAAGAAGCACATCAGTTTTATCTTGTGTATCTTTTAAAAGTACATGTGCATACATCTTTGTTTACAACTTTATAAAGATGCATTAAGGCAATTAGAAGTTCCAAATACAAACATTTACCTGCTACATTGTAAAATTTTGCATTAGAAGCCATAAGAAGAAAATGAAGTAAACTCAAAGATATCACACTGAAAAACAACAAAACCAAAGAAGTTGTGGAATCAAAAACCTTGCCAGCTTTTGCACCTCGTTTCTTAGCCGGGGTTTCATCTTCAGAAGGTGGTGCAATAAATGGTTCAGGAGCTGGGCAGCGTTCAACAAATCGAGCATTAACAAGGCTTTTGAAACTATCTAGTGCAGCATCCTTACCAGAATCTCCTGGAATGTTATAGGATTCAGTAAAGTATGGAAGCTGTTATAATAATAAATAAATGGTTTCTAAAAACTAAACCTGCTCATTAAGCTTGAAAGTTTAACCAAAGTATTCCTAAATATAATGAAGATTCATTCTTTTTTCTGTTGCCAATAAGTAACTATAATGAGGATTCTTTTGTATTCACTGATTCATCTTTGAGGATAGCAAAGATACAAAAAACATCATTGGCACGACTAAGCTAAGAAATTTGATAGAATGACACTCATTGTATAGGAGCATTCAGCATTCCGCTCCACTTCCATAGGCGAATGAATTGATATTGAACGAGATATCAGGGATAAAAACAAAGCAGTTATTAATGCTAGCTTAAGGCAGCTACTTAAACCAAATATTTCAAAAATACAGAGAGCATGTGCCCCTAACCTTGACTTGCCATCTGCTTGTGCCTATCCAGTATTTGATTGAGAGAAAGCCTGCCATGTTGAAGCAACCCTTCAAATATCCCTTCACACTGAACCAAATCGCAGCTCATTGATAAGCTTAACTAGATACAACCTTTTCAACTATGCAAGATTTAAGATTAAAAAGAATGAAAATTAAAATGAGAAGGCAATCACAAACTCACTTCTTTACCGAGCTCCTGGGAAACCATCTCTATAAACTTTGGAAACCTCATTCTATGAATTATATTATCAAACAATGCCATATACTGAGTTATAACTTTCGGGGCATCCCCAAAAGCACCTACATTCACAATACATTGTATAACCATTACCGTGGTGTACTCAAACTAAGACAGTCAGCATATTATTCTTTTTATAATTTTCAATCAAAAAGCTAACTGATTTTGAGGATTGGAAAGTTGAGAATTAAAAATAGCACCTTCTTGTTGAACAGCAAGGGCTTGAACACAATTATGATGAATCAACACAAGTAGACAGCTCCGTACATTCTCTCTGCTAAGCTCAGTGAAGCGCAGAATCTGCGCTAAAGTTAGGGTTCCTCTGTTCAACAGACACTCGATTACTTTCTGTGATCACGACAATCAGATAAATAATCAATTCTAAAATCATTAAGGAAAAAAAAATTGCTTAAGAAAATTAGTAAATTTAATCATCTTAGTAGTTGAGTAGCTCAATAAGAATATCAGTAAAAGCCATTATTTTGGTGAAAGTTTGAGAGTTTGGTGGATTACAGCGTTGTGGTCGCCGAAGAAAGATGAGATGAGATAAACGGCGAGTTTGACGCCGTGCGGTGACACCATTTTCGTATCTCTGCTTCTCTTATGCGGCGGGCAGTGAATACCTTACCTTAACTGCTGGCTCGGTGATAATGGTGCTTTGCCGTTTTCTTGCTTACTTCTCCGACCAAAATTTTACGATAAACCACTTTTTGACCTCACAACTTTAATATATTTGACACTTAGGGGTGGTTTGGTTCATGGAATGACAGATTACCTTAGAGAATGTTAGATTACTGGGAATGTTAGATTCTTGTGTTTTAATATAATCATGTTTGATTTAGGGTTATCTTTTATACACACTATAATATCCTTAACATATTTTCATATATTTTAATAAATTTAATAATTAAAATAAATAAATAAGATAACGTTATCATATATATAATTACATGATTTTAAAATATTAACTCTAAAATCTTGAACTTGAGAAACAAAATTATTTTATATGCTAACATAACAGAATAAAAATAAAAAAAATATATATAATTACAAAAATAATTTTATATATATATATATATATATATATATATATATATATATATATATATATATATAAAATAAACTAACATAACCAAGATTATCTTACATTACTTAAAATCCTATGTGGAGGGAATGTGACATTCCTTGGGAATGTTAGATTCCCTAAGATAATATGAACCAAACACCAGAATGTGAGCTTTCGAATGTCACATTCCCTTGGTTATGTTATATAACCTGAACCAAACGCCCCCTTAGTCCGCAGGGTTAGCCCGTCACGCCTCATGAAAAGGGTGGGACGAATTTTAATATTTTAGGCCTGTATTTTGGTAGGTTTTTAATCCGCGAGTTTGGCGGGCCAACGGGGTTCGTCAAATTATATATATATATATATATATATATATATATATATATATATATATATATATATATATATATATAGTAGTTTTTTACGCGCATTGCGCCATTGGGATAATGCCCAATGTTTTTTTTAATAAGTACTTTAAAGTATATTAAGACATGATTATATTGAAATTGTTCATGCATAGATAATTGAAGGTTGAATTTGCGTATTTAAATAGGTAATTCTTCTCCCAAAGGTTGAGTCCCCAACCCCAAGGGCCCCCCACACTCCAACCCGATAGAGCATTGTGGGAAGTTGTAAATCACGGTGACTCAATGGTTCAGCAGACAGGGCCAAATGCTGATACGCACAAGGAATCTGCCCACTTTGGACATAATTCCCGCACTGCCGCCGCCGAGGTTCAAACATTCGTCTCTTCTCCCAAATACTACCCACTAAACCATTGAGCTAAGCCCATGCGGGTTAAATAGGTAATTCTAAGTTTACAAATGCAAGATAATATAGTCAAGATTGATTATAATTGTCAATAAAATAATTGTATAGGTATCGTTGAAACCAAATACGGGACATAAGGGAGAACAAATAAAAATTAGGACATAAAATATTAAATATATACTAATATTGTTTGAGGAGATTCCGACATTAGGATTTGTGGTTAAGTTCTATTAAGACTTTAATATTAGAATTAGATTAATGGTGTAGTTATAATTCTATATTAGACTTTAATATTAGAATTAGACTAACGGTGAATTAACGGAAAAGTTAAATGAATAATCATATAATTAAGGATAAATTAGAAAATCTTAAAAGAAAAAATTAAAACCTGAACAATATGAACCATTCATTTGATTTAATAATTTGGCGGTCATTTTTTCTACCCAATGTTAACAATTAAATAAATTCGCTAGTCAAATCCGCTAGTATAATCCGCTAACGTTAACCGCTAACTGCTGATTGTCAAACAAGGACATTGCGAGGTAGTTCTCACTTCAATTTGTTGTGTGATTTGAATACTCTCGTTGTCACAAAATCTCTCAAGTAGTTAATATGGTTGACTTTATTAATTATATTTTTTAAATTTTTTCATGGTATTAATAAAATACTTGGTAAATAAATATATAGCATTATTTTGTATTATAACTTTGATATTTAATTAGAAAAATAGTGCACAAAAAAAGATAATAGATAATGTAGTGAATATAATCAATTGATGAATTTGATTGTAAAAATTTTTACATTTGAGAAAAATAAAGACAATATAACTAATGAAAATATTTCTTTTAATTAATTTATTGATAATTAATAAAAAAAATTTCACTGAATAAAGACATTGTAAGGATAATGTAGCGAATATAATCAATTAATAAATTTGAATATAAAGAATTTTTATATTGAAGAAAAATAAAGACAATATAACTAATAAAATTATTTCTCTTATTTAATTGATTGATAATGAATAATTTTTTTTTAATAAAGGCATTGTGGACACATAATTCTAAATTTAAGAAATGCATATGTATTATTTTTTGTTGTAACTACTAAATTATTATTTATATAATTTAATAAGAGTAAAATAGAGTACTAATTATGCCAACTTTGATTGTGATGAGGTTCGAACCTAAGACCTTTTTTTATTGAAATCAATGAGTAAGTTAACGGTGAACTAACGGCAATTCTTAAAATTTTAACGGAATTAGTAACGGTGTGTGGGTATTTTAAAAAATTTTAATGTAAAATTTAAATCTGATCAATCTTTTAATTAATCTGAGTCATTCATTTGATTAAAATCTGTGACCGCCATTTTTTCTACCCATTATAGGCCTAACTCTCTTGGGCTCTACACCGTATTTTAACCACTTCCATGGTCGATCTCCGGTCTTATATTGGTTTTGTTGCTAGTCACGATAAGAACTATATTCACTCTCTTAATTACTAATTTTACTGTTAGTTTAGTTCCTAGAAGTGCTAATGTCATAGCTCACACTTTAGTTACCAAAGCCTATTCGATCTCAGGCTGATTCTCTCTATTCCTCCTGATTTTGTTTTAGTTCATCTACACAAGGGCGGAGCCACTATGGGGCAGTTGTCCCCCCACCTTACCCCTTTATATATATATATATATATATATATATATATATATATATATATATATATATATATATATATATGTATGTATGTATATGTATACATATATAGCATTAAATGTTATATAAAACATATATTTGTGTTAAAATTGTTAATAATTTGAGTAGCTTAGTTAGTTGAATTCCAAATTTGATATTAAAAGGTCATGTCATAGGTTCAAATTTCATTAACAACATTTTTCCTTATCTATAATGTATTTTAACCTTATTATGACTTGTTTAATATTTTGTAAATGATTTTCTAATCCGTCTTCCTAGTTTTACAGTAGTATATTTTGCTCATTTTACTTTTAAAAAAATTATAATAAGGAATTTAAAAAACCTGAAGCATCCAAAAGAATTTAAAATGCTGTATATAATGGGGAATTAAAATTTCAAGAAACAGAGAATCTTTTACCAACCAAATGTGAAACTTCTTAACTTAGAAATAATCATTCACTCCCATTTCACTGCCAAAAAAAAAAAAAAAAAACCGCTTTCTCTCACATTTTCGTCTGCTCCCATGTAGTAAAGGCCCGGCGACTTGGTGCTGTCGACTGACGTTCTGATGGAGGGTTGAGTCGGCGGTGCCATTAGTAGACTTCATCCTCCGGCTGTTTTAGGAATAAGTGTTAGATCTCATATCATCTCCGATTGTTTTTCAAAATTTCAGAGACTCTACATATCTGACAGGTTTTCTACCCTCTTTTCCGTTTATGTTGTTTTCTTTTGGTTCTACGTTATCTCTTTGTTCCTTTGACTAGTTTGTTTTCTCTCGTCTCTCTGGCGAGTGTTTTCCTCTCGTCTCTTTGGCGGGTTTTTCTCTCGTTTCTTTGGCGAGTTCTCCTAAGCGTGGAATGATAAAAGGTCTCACCAGAGTCCAATCATTATTGTGTGGACCATGGTCCATATAAGTTGTGTGGACCATATTTTGTATACTATAGAATAATGTACATTTAGTACAAAAATAATGTACATTCAGCACAAAAATAATGTACATTGTATTCAGGGGATGTACATTATTTTTGTACTGAGTGTACATTATTTTGTATAATGTACACTCAATACAAAAATAATGTACATTTAGTATATTAAAAATGTACTTTTTGTTATGGTCCATATAACATTGTGTGGACCATGGTCCACAGAATAATTTGCCCACCAGAGTCAGGCTTGGCTATGTTTGAACATATCTATGAAGAAGCACCGAGTTCATCCAACAACTTCGGCTTCAAATTTGTAAAACAGTCTGCAATCCATGTTTTCTATAACATTACTAGAAAATTTGTTTAAATATTTGACTGTAAAGAATGCATTGTCATTCTAACGATCTGTATTGTAAACATTTCTGCTTATGATTAACGAATTAGCCTTTTATTTTCAAAAAAAAAAAAAAAAAAAAACATTGAGAACAAAACTTTTTCTACAAATCAAATAGGTTGTAATAATTTGAAGTTAGTTAAGGATAATGTAAGATTTGGATTGTATTATCTATTTTTTTGAATGCGTATTATCTATTTAATTTATGCATAGGGTGGTAACGACAAGATGTGAGAAACTTTAATTTAATTAGTTAACTATTTAAATTGATTTTTTTGGGGTTCAGCCTGGAAGAATGATTTTTTTGAACATGAATTATGGTGATATGATAGTAAAGTTCACATTTTTTTTAAAAAAATCAAATAATATTTTGATTATGTAAATAGTCTAAGTTATACCTAAATTAGGTTAAAGTAAATCGATGTCACTTTTTTTTTTTTTTTTTTTGACGTGGTTACGCTAGGTTTGTAACTAAACACATGATGTTGTTTGCATATTTACCATAGCTTTTACGTAAAGTAGTACAAAAATGTTAGCTTTGCTTGATGAATTCTGCTGCTAGTTTTATTTTAGTTTGAATGTTGTGTAATTCACTAATCTGTCATTGACGTTGACTGTCCAAATTGGTGGTATGTTAGTTAGATGAATTTATCAAACACGTCAATTGTTTCATATTCTCAAGAAAAAAATGTCAAATTTATACAATATTGAGTTAATACCCAATTTAGTCATCGACTATAGTGATTTTTATTAATTTAGTCTTATACGACTTTTTGTGATTAATTAGGTCATCAACTTTGATGATTTTACTTAATTAAGTCCTCTGTTAAGATAGTTTGGCAATTTAACCTCTATTAATACCA